ATCCTTTTCCATAGTGCTACCATCTAGCCAGGTATCACCCATCTTGTATTTATGATTAATATTTCCAAGGCGTAGCATTTTGTGCTTGTCTGCACTGAACTTCATCCTGTTAGCTGTAGCCCAGTTTTTTAATCTATTGAGATCCTTCTGAACTGCCCTCCTGTACTTCAACATGTTTGCAGTCCTTCCCAGTTTCGTGGCATATGCAGGCTAGCTGGTTTTTGTTCTTCGAGTCCTCCTGCCTTTTTTTAAAATGAGGCACTACATGGGCCCTTTTCCAGTCCTCTGATACAACACCTGCCTCCCATAACTTCATAAATATCCTCATCATGGGCTCTGAGATATCCTCTGCCAGTTCCTTCAGTACCCTGGGATGAAGTTCATGCAGCCTGCTGACTGGAATTCATTCAGACCCGTCAAAAGCATTCTGACAGTCTGATTGTTATCTTTCCCCTCAGCCTGTCCTTTTCCTTATTTTAGTAATCCCTTATTGGGTGTCTTGCTGCAGCTTAATTTTTCTGTGATGATTGAGAAGTAGCTGTTGAATTGTTCTGCCTTCTTTGCATTTTCTGTTAAGAGTTTCCCCTGGTAAACTAACAGTGGATCCACAACTTCCTTGGTCTTTCTTTTCTGGATAAAATACTTACAGAAGCTCTTCTTACTGTCTTATTGCCAGGTGCAGGTCATTCTTTATCTTGGTCTTCTTGATTATGTCCCTTGCTATTAGGTTCTTGCTATTTTCTGGTAAACTTGCTGGGTGACGTGCCCCTTTTTCATTGCCTGTATACTTTCCTTTTATATTTGAGATATTCTATAAGCCCGTTGTGCAGCCACTTTGGTCTTTTGCCATTCTTAGGGTGCACCTACATGTATCGCTATGGTGATTTTGTTACTGAGTCGTGATTTAGTACTGCCTTTTGGTCAGCAAAATGACCATGAGGTCAGCAAAATTAGGATGCTAGATTTCAAAAAGATGGATTTCAATTGACTCAAGAAGTTAACAGGAATGGTGCTGTGGGAAGACAAAGTGAAGGAAAAAGGTGGGCACTTCTAAAGGGCACAGTATTAGAAGTGCAACAAAAATAGTTCTAACATGATGGAAGCACAAGACTACAGCTAAGGCTGGAGACTTCAGCTGGGGCGTGCCAATTCTCCTGCTGGGGAAAAGCTGGAGGTTCCTGGCTAGAGCGTCTTGCCCCTCTGCTCAGAGTTAGACCAATCACCATATTTGGGGTCAGGAAGGATAGATTTGTCATCTCCTGAAGACTGCCTCATCCCTTCTTCTTCCTGACTTGGTGGCCTATAACAAATCCTTATCATTATATTTGTGCTGGATCTTTCACCTTTCATCTTCACCCAAATGCATTCTGCTCTGCTATCTTCTCCTTCCTGAACCAGGGAAAAAGTGTATGCACTCTTGACACACAAGGCCACACCACCATATTTTCTCCCAACCCTGTCCTTCCATAACACAGTGTCAGAACATAGTTCTTTTCAAAGGCTGTAGCTTCCAGCTCATCTTTCATAGTTTCATAGTTACAGGGTCGGAAGGGACCTAATAGATCTTCTAGCCCGCCCCCCCGCCAGGGCGGGAGAACAACCCAAAAAAAAACGTTATAGTTTCATAGTTTCATAGTTTTAGGGTTGGAAGGGACCTAATAGATCTTCTAGCCCGACCCCCCGCCAGGGCGGGAGAACAACAAAAAACCCTAAAAACAAAAACGGGACTCAAATGAGTCCAGCCAGGTAAGTATCCAGCCTCTTCTTAAAGATCCCCAGGGTAGGGGCCAGCACCACCTCCCTTGGAAGTTGGTTCCAGCTCCTAGCCGCCCTAACTGTGAAGTAGTTTTTTTGGATGTCCAATCTGTACCTCCTCTCCATCAACTTGTGCCCATTACTCCTTGTTATGCCAGCGGGGGCTAGGGGAAACAGCGTCTCCCGCAAACCCTTCTTGTTCCCCCTAGTGAGTTTATAGATGGTCACCAGGTCCCCCCTCTGGACCCTCTCCATGTTGTCCACATCCCTCCTGAAATGGGGCGCACAGAACTGGACACAATACTCCAGCTGCGGCCTGACCAGTGTCGCATAGAGGGGGAGGATCACCTCCCTGGCTCTACTCGAGATGCACCTGTGGATGCACGACAATGTCGGGTTAGCCCTGCCAACCATGACCTCGCATTGGCGGCCCATGTTCATCTTGGAGTCAATAATGACACCAAGATCCCTTTCCGCCTCCGTGCTCTCAAGTAGGGAGTTCCCCATCGTATAAGTGTGCTGCTGGTTCCTACTACCCAAGTGCAGCACCCTGCACTTGTCCGTATTGAAACACATCCTGTTCCTGTTTGCCCACCCCTGTAACCTATCCAGATCCTTCTGCGATCTCTCTCTCCCTGCTAGCGTGCTCACCTCCCCCCAACTTTTGGTGTCATCAGCGAATTTAAACAGGTTGCTTTCCACCCCAGCATCAAGATCGCTGATGAAGAAATTGAACAGCGCAGGCCCCAGGACCGAGCCCTGGGGGACTCCACTACCCACCTCCCCCCAAGTCGAGTATGATCCATCCACCACCACCCTCTGAGTGCGACCCTTCAGCCAGTCTTGTTTATTCCCCATACTTCTTGCATGTTTATACCTAGATTAACAAGTAAAATGTACTTCGTTTCCTTTTGCACCGGTCCATCCTGTCCTGTGGCTCTCTGGTCCTTCTCCAGAGTTGAGCTGCTTCTTTCAGTGCTTTCCCCTCTGGATTATTTTCTTTGTTTCTGGTGGGTTTTGATCATCATCTTCCATGAAACGAAGTTTAAAGCTCTTCTTATTAGGCCCAAGTTAAAGCTCTCATTATTAGGTTGGCCAGACAATACCCAAAAATGCTCTTTCCAGTTCTGGATAGATAGATCCTGTTTCTTGATAGAAGACCTGCCTCATTTGAAGTTGTAACGGGGCCAATTTCCCTGTGGCCCGTCCACCTGTTTCTGGGCTAACCGCTCACCTTCTCACCCGCCACATCTTATTGTTAATTAATTAATTGTTGTTAATTAAGTGGGAGGCTGCCCATTTCTTGCCCCGATGCCAGGGGGCGCTATCTGTGGCTCCGTACCTCCCCTACACTGCAGCCCATGCCTCGCAGATGGCATCCTCTGTTCTTACAGTCACCGGTCCCACTCTGGGCCCCAGAATCCTATTGTTTGAACCCCACCTGGATCCCTCCATTCAGGCGACCTAATCCGCCTTCATTCTAGGCTGCATAGCTCCCTGAGCTGCTTTCCCCTTATGGGTGTGGTCCCCCCGGGACCTTTGGCTCTACTGGCCCTGGCCCACCTCCAGGCCAGTCGGAACCCCAGGCCCTTAGCTCTGGGCATCCCTCATGGTGGGTCCCTGGCCCTTTGACCCTTCCGGTCCTGGCCCCAGCATTGACCAGTTGGGGGATGTCAAGACAGGTTTTTTTGAGTCTATGGCCCCACTCTCTCACTGGGGTCCACGTTCTGAACCCTACAAGGGGGTAACCCACCCAGTTGTAGGAGCTGGGGTTAAGGTGCCCCGACCTGCCTTTCACCAGGGTGGTAACTGGCCTGGCATTTCCTGGATGCTCCCACACCACTGAGAGCCCCACCAGGCCACCCATTCCTGGCAGGATGCAGTTTTAGGTCATGCCTAGGACCAGGAGCCTCCTGACCATCCCCTATAGTTTCTCCCTTACCTCCAGAGTGTTCCATTTGATGTTGCTGCACCTCCAGCCAGCAGCAAAATGCCCTGTTTATATAGGTGGCCAGAGCTCTAAAATGGCCGCTGCAATTAAGCACCTGCTGGGTGCTTGGCCCCAGGTCTTAAAGTGGCAGGCACAAACAGTGTCCTGCCACAGAAGTAAATCACTTACACAGAGCTGTGAATGCAAACCCTGTGAAGCAATCATCCCAGAGGGGAAAAGGAAAAAAAAAAGAAAAAGAAAACCGGGCCCAAGTCAAACATCCAGAGTCACCGGTTCTTAGAAAAGTCTATACAGTGCAGTTCCACTGCTGCACTGCTTCTGTCGCTGCAGCTTCAAGGCAAATGCTCTCTGTGTTCACTGCTCTTTGAAGTGCTTTGAAATAGTAAATACTTCCCCCAGGAATATTATGAGAACGCTTTTACCATTTTTGGAGTGCATCAAAAGGTATGTACATCTGTTTGCTTGCCCTTTGAAACACTTCAAAGAGATTACACTGGTAATCTCCTGGTAATTACCTTCCCAGGTAATTCTGCCCATTTTACAGATGAGAACCACAGTATTTCTCCTCAAAGGTTGATACTTTAATTTCCTCTTTGAGCAGGACACCCAATATACCATAGTTAGGGATCTCTGGAATTCATGCCAGAAGTGCGGGGTGTGACGGCTTCTTTAATCTTGGAGTTTCCCTTGTGCCTGCCTCCCCCCTGCCCCACTGATTGGCAGTGGGGCCCCGTTGCTTGCTGCCTGTGCCTGATGGATGGGAGGTAAAAAACGCTGCAGCTTTTGCCTCCCAGCATATCAGGTGTTGGCAGCAAGTGGCGTGGGGGAAACTAGACCCTACATAAACCAACACTGAGTTCAGAAATATGGTTTCAATCTTCTCTAGTCCATTATCATGTTTGTTGTTATAATAGATCTATCTACAGTAGAAAGATTATACTTCTAAGTGCAGAACTAAGCTGACTTCAATATTTTTTTTCTCAGGAGTTAAAGATCCATGCTCACAGATTCCCTTGCAGGAATACTCTAATAATAAATGAATTAGTAGTCTTTCTGCAGGTGATCCATGAGATATCAATTTGCCTCATTCAGTCAAACAAAGCTAGCATGGTTCCTTATACTCTGATTTACAAATTGTAGAAAATAGCTGTTAATATTGTTAATCTTATATTCATAATAGTATCCTGACTGGGACCAGCAAATGAACATGGTGATGAATATGTTGGGTGATTGCAACTTGTTAACACATTACGCTGCATTAACTTTACTTATGTGTTGTGATACTTAATTGCAGAGGCACAAAATTAGTTGTGACCGTTCAACTGGCATTATTGATATGGTGATGGATCGATTTACAATTGAAAATGAAGGTACCTATACTGTACAGATCCAAGATGGAAAAGCCAAAAACCAGTCTTCATTAGTGCTTATTGGAGATGGTAAGCTCACTGAAACATTTGGCTTAGCTTATGAAAAAAAATGCACTTTAATTATCCTTTGAAAACTTCAGCAGCTCATTCATTATTTCATACTTCTCTACTCTAAATTTAGCATTCAAGGCTGTATTGGCTGAGGCTGAGTTCCAGAGAAAGGAATATCTCAGGAAACAAGGTAAAACAAGGAAGCTTGGTGATACACAGTCAAATTTTTCAGTTAGTGGAACACATTTGTAAAAGAGAAGTTTCCCAATTCTTATTGTCATCAGTAGGAGCTAAGAGGATTATGCATCTTGCTGGAGATATTGAACACTTTGCAAGATGGGAATCTTATTTCTGTGGGGTGTCTATATTATTCTGTGTTATCAGAGAATATAAATCATGATTTACATTTTTAGGGTTAAATGGTGCATTCTGTTGTGCCCCCAAGAAGACCCTAGGTAAAATAGGTAGCCTAATCAGAAGTTACATATTCTGTTCATTTCTGTTTGCTTTCTGATCACTCCTGCTTTAGGCTCTGATCCAGCAAAGCACTTCGGCATGTACTTAATTGTAAGGATGTGAGCTGTCCTCTTGGTCTAATTGATCAATGTCATAGACTCCTATGACATTGGTTGATAGCGTAGTGTCAGAGAGAGATCTCTTTCCCAGATGCAAGTTTCTAGATTTTGGACACTGGGGTATGTAATTGTAGGGCTCACCAAAACAAGGTTGTATTTGTCTGTTAAGCACATACATAACTGTACTAATATGACCAGTCTTATTGGGCCTGTGCTGGTTGATAAGTTATTCATGGACACACATATCTTCAGGATGGATCCTTATGGGGGAACAGGAATGGTTATGTTTCTATTTGATTCTATCTGATTATATTATATAACAATTCTATTTAAATACTTCTCATTTAATTCTATTTGGAAAAAAAATAGTGGTTGTCCAGGATTTTTTTCTTGAAACATAAAATAAGCATTTTGTTTTTTCTCCAATTCTCTTTTCATTAAATTCATCCTTTAACTTTTTTTGGTAACACTCTCTTTTTCCAATGATTAGTTGGCAACTAAGTAAGATCAGATGTAATCCTTCCAGTTGTCTCAATAAACTGTTTTGCATTCAGGAATGATACATGTCCTAAATTGCAAAGTGAGATGTGTCCCCCAATTTTTATTTTTTATACTTCAGTGCAATAGATATCTGGTGTCAATAAGATGAATGCTTATTGCAAAGTTTCCCCTCCAGGGAGCTCATAGTTCATGAAAGATTATTACCTGTCATCATTCTGATCTAAGATGCTAGAACATGCTCATCTTTCTTTTTCTTCTTCATATTATATTTTTCCTAAGTGAGAAATGTTCCCTGATTCCATAACATGTTTTAAGTTCATTTTGTTTCCTAGGTCCTCATTTTCATGAATACTTGTCCTGGGAAGTTACTGAAGAATGTGAAGTTTTACTTATTTGTAAGGTGAGAAAACATTTAGAAATTCAGGCAGTTTATACATTCTCGAAATAACAGATTAAAGATTATTCTTTTAAATATTACTTATTTTTAGTAATGATCCAATTTATATACAAGAATTTGGGGAAACATGACATTTGCTGTAAATTAAAATTGAGCCTACTTGCAAATTTGGGTCAAATAGTTTGGACAGGGAAAATGGGAACATTTTTAAATATTCAAAAATACAAAGTTTCTAAAAGGAAATGTTTCATTTTAGTCTCTTCAAAATGGAATTTTGCACTATTTTATTTCAAACCAAGTTTTTCACTTAGAAAAAAATAGAAAACAGAGAAAAGGAGTAAATAATCCAAAATGAAAGAAAACGTTTTGTTCTGGATCAAATATTTCAGAAATAAATGTTTCTTTAAAAAAGTCAGAGCCAGAAAGAAGTCATTTCCTTTCAGCCTCTACCATCCCCAAATTATTATTTCGTTTTTTACGGGTTTTCTAATTTTTTTTCAGTCTGCCACCAAAAGTCATTATTTGCGTAGGGGTTAATCCAAACATACACTAAAAAAATGTGTATGGATTTAAGTTAGAAAACAGGTTTTATAATTTTAATATTTTTTTAAAAAGATCTTAGGGGTCAGCATGCCAGCCTGGGGCTGTCTTGACCCAACTCAGCATTGTGCAGAGGGGCTGGATAGGGCATGAGGGTTCTCCAGTGCAGGGCTAGCCAGCAGGCAGTCCCTGCACTGAAGCACCCTTGTGCCCCAGCTGGCCCAGTCAGCATCTACACATGTGCTGCTGGGGAGTAAAAAACTCTGCAGCAGGATAGTACCTGTATTTACAAGTTTATTAGTTTACAACAGCCTAATAACCCTGCATGTGTAGATGCCAAGATGTTTACTGCAGAGCTAATTAGTCCACTCTGCAGTAAACATCTCATGTAGACATGCCAACTGGGTTTTTAATTAGAGCAGATTTAATAATTCATTAAGAGTAGTTTAACTTACTGTACAGTCCTTTTTATGTTCACAAATTATCTGTGAATCTTATAAGTGTGCTGCTGGTTACTACTGCCCAAGTGCAGCACCCTGCACTTGTCAGTATTGAAACGCATCCTGTTTTTGTTAGCCCACCCCTGCAACCTATCCAGGTCATTCTGCAGTCTTTCCCTCCCTACTAGTGTGCCCACCTCACCCCAAATTTTGGTATCATCAGCAAATTTGAACAGGTTGCTTTTCACCCTGTTGTCCAAATCACTGATAAAGAAATTGAACAGTGTGGCCCAAGGACCGAGCCCTGAGGGACTCCGCTGCCCATTTCCCCACAGGTCGAATATGACCCGTCCACCACCACCCTCTGAGTACGACCCTTCAGCCAGTTTCAACTAGTGCCAATAGATGCAGTAAATTAGGGTATAAATATGGCATTGGTTCTGTTTGTATGAGAGAAATAAATAGTAAAAGGGAGTAAAAGGTATCCATGTTCTATGTTTTATAATCAGTTATTTGGAAAAATAATTTCCTTTAATTTGTTTCTTAAGCTCTGAATTCAGGTTTCCTTGATGCCCTCATATAGATCCATGAAATGTACCAGGACTGAATGGTTGATGGCATTATGGAAGTGCAGATATGCTGAAGCCCTGCATTCCTTTATAACACCTTATTTTGCTTATATTATACTTGTGTGCCTTGGTTTAGTATGAGTGCAAGGAAGGGAAGACAGCTGTAGAACACTGACAGTGCTTTTTCTGAGTGATCTGTTCAACAAAAATGGATAGAAATATATTGGCAGCTCCTGTGAAGACAGCTGAGCTGCTGCTGCTTCCAGTCACTCTCCTTCTAGCTACTTCTTTGAAATAGTACTTTCGATTCACTCATCCAGCAATATTTTAAATGCCATTTGATACACAACTATATTTCACATACACTGCAATACCAGAAGTCCAATTTCCATCTCTCTGCCTATTGAACTGATGAGCTGCCATCTCTTCTTCCAGGCAGCTGCCTTCAGGCAGCTTTTCTTCATTCACATCTGTGTCACATGCTTTCCTATCAAAAGACACGGCAGCTCACGGCATTCCCTCCTAGCTTCATGCTTTTTTTGGTCTCAGTGATCAAAGGTAACCATTTTCTAAGTGGATGAGTAGATTTGTACATTTCCAGAGAGCCTTCCAGCACAGGCCCCAGATTCTATACTGCCTCTCTTAGGAGGCATAGAAAGAAGTCACAGTCCTTGGGGACAGGGAAAATTCTGGATCTCCAATTTCAAAGTGGTATTGGGATTTGCTCTAATTTTACTGTACCTACAGTTTTCCACTCCTAATCCCCAGCCATTCTCCCTTCAATTCAAAAGTAGCCCCTTCACCTCTGGCTGCTTCTTCAGCGTATCCCTAGCACAATGATGTATGCACCTGTATGTATGTAGCCACAGTGTAATTTCTGCCAGAGGTGTAACAATGTGGACGAGCACCTGGGACAGCTGCAACATGGGGCGGGGAGCGGAGGGTGACTTCCAGCTGCTGCCGCTGTGTCATCAGTGTGATTATGTGGCTGTGGTTGCAGTGATTTTTTTCATCCTTTCCCCTCCCATTCCAAGTTGGCACCTGGAGCATCTGGGTTGCCCTACCCTATTTACACTATTGATTTCTGCTGGGGAAATTATTTTGGTGGCATTTTTCTAATGTCTCTTGCTACTACCAAAGCAGTATGAATGTTCCTTAATAATTTTCTGGGCCCTAAGGAATGTACTCTGCCTGTTAAACAAAGGATAGAAGTTAGGACTCATGAGCTATGGGCATATACATGGTTTATTGCCCTTTTGGAATGAGAAATGTTCCACAGAACTCAGACTGCATTTTTTATAATAAAAAACTCAGCTAGCACAATTTGATTGTAATTGTACTGTCATTTACTTTATCTGGCCTATGCTATAGAATAAAATGTATATTTTTGTATTGGAATAAGAGTAGAAATGAATAAACTGTGATGTCTTTTGTCAGAATATAAAAATACATGCATGTATTTTCTCTTGTGCAGGTTGCAAATACAAAGAAGGAAACCGTTTTCAAATGGTACAAAGATGGTTCTGGGGTTGATGTCGAAAAGCTGCCTGACTTACAGAAAGAAGTGTGCCACCTAACTATTCCAAGGGTACGGTATAACCTGAGCAATGACAGTTTCTGTGTAACATTTTATAGTTTCACCAGGTAGAGTTCCAAAACAACTGTCCTGATTTCTATGGACCGTTTTAAGGAAAGCTACATTTGCTACCCTCCAGTTAGTTGGCATAATAGCTAATATCAGTAAGAGATTGCCTATTTTTGTTACGAGACCTGCCTCTTCATGCTCAAGTTCCTTCAGAACCCTTTGATGAATACAATCTGATCCTGATATCTTGTCGCTCCTTAATTTTTCAACTTGTTCAAGCACTTAATTTTTGACAGTCTCTCATCTTTATTGCCTAAAATGACTAGGCTTGAATCAGAAATGTCCCCAGTACTCATTATAGTGAAGACTGGGGAAAGAAAGTATGTTAGTTTCTGTCTATTGACCTTGTCTTCCTTTATAGCTTCCTTTGTACCCTATCAGTCCAGATGATCCACAGATTCGCTTGCAGGTTTCCTGCTCTAGATGTAAAGAATTATTTTAGTATTTTTTTGTTTTTATTTGTTCTTCATATTCCCTGTTAGCTCCCCTACTTCACATTTCACAATTTACTTGCATTGGTTTATGCATGCTTGTTGGATTCACTTGCATTAGGTTTATATTTTCTCAAGGATGCTTGTTTGACTTGATTACCCTCTTGTCTTGTACCTTGGCATTTAACTAGTCTCTCTTTTTCTGTATCTGCTTTTGCTTAGGAATTTATATAAAACTATACTTCTATTCAATAACTTTTATGCTGACATTAAACATTTTAATTTCTTCACATTGACTGACTTCCTAATCTTTAAAAATGGTCTCCCCTTTTAAAGCATAGTGTCTCTATTTTTGATTTTGGTATATAAGCCCTCTAAGGATATTAAGTGTATTTTAATGTGGTCAGTATTACTCAGTTATTGTTCAACTGCAGTTACTGTTTGAACCAAATCCAGTGTGTTAATATTCTTGACTTATTCTCATTAACTCTTAATATTTATTTTAGCCATTCTGAGAAGTAGTCATTATATCCTAAGAGAAAATTCTCTAACTCTGATCACAATAATTTGTCCCAATAATGTACAAGTGGGTGCTCAAAGTGACCTGTTAATTAAGGTCTTATGAGACTTAACAAGTTCTTGGACCTTACTAATTTCTACTTCTTTACATTCCTCAGGGCATATATGTCTTTATATATGGAATAGTAGGGAAAAGCAACCTGTCTATAGGAAGCCAAAATAAACTTATAGTATATTATAGTCTTCTGATATATTATATGTGAATACAAAAGATATTAATGGAGCATGCCTAAGCTCCAGTTTCCTCTTAGGAGAGGCCACTGTAGTCAGAGCACAATTCAAACTAAGATCCCTGATATAGAAAATGGTCTACAAGTTGCTTAAATCTTCTGCTCTCATTTAATTAAGTGTGTCATATTTTATTTCTAGCTGACCAACAAGGATCAAGGTATATATAAGGCAACATTATCAGACGACAGAGGTCATGATGTGTCTACTCTTGATGTATCAGGAAAAGGTAAGCTCAGTTTATGATGTTAAAGTAATGCATGCTTAACTGTGCTTCTAAAGGTAGATGAACATCTTCACTGAAAACAGATAAAATGGGAAATGATCAAATGAACATAGGACTAAAAGGGGCCTCCTTGGCTATCCAGCCCAATCCCCTGCAACCACATGTAGTCATTAACTGAAGAAATCCCCCAAATTGCCACTGAAAGCCTTCTCCAACAGCTACAAGGAACAATATCTGAAACACCAATGACTCTCTATATAATCACCTCCATAAAAGTAGGGGGAGCTGGGGTTACTACCAATACCCTGCCAGTGCAGTAATAGGGAAGTAGGAAGTTAATACGTGCTCAGAACACCACAGGAAAGGGGCACTGCCCCATGCTATAGATAAGTGATTCTCAACCAGGGTACCAGGGCACCCTGGGGTGCTGCAAGGTGTGAGGAGATAAGCAAGTGTGAGGAAATAAGTTCAGGCTCAAGCTTCTCTTAGCCTCGCTGCTCACCCAATGCCTGCCCCCCTCTGCAAGAATGCAAGCACTGTAATAAATGACTCAGTTTTTTTAAATGGGGTGCCACTCAATTCACAAAAGTTAGAAGGATGGGTGTATTGAGTCATACAAGGGCTGCTTTGAATCAAACAAGGGGTGTGTCAAGTCTTAAAAGTTTGAGAACCATTGCTATGAAGGAAGGCAAAAACTGCCACAGCCCATGGCAATCTGACTTACAGGAGAAAATGTTTCCTGATCCCAAATTTGGCAGTTGGTCTGACCCTGATTGAAGACCTAGACCCTATAGCCAGGAAACTCTAGGTGCATCCACACATTCATTAATGTGCTTTAGGTAATGTGAACTAAATCTAGTACCTCCCTCGTGAGCTATTAAAAAAAAAGCCTGTTTTAATGTGCATTAGCTAAAGAGAACTTTTTTTTGTTACACATTAGTGTGCATTAAAAGAAGCTAATGCACATTAAAGTGTACATGTCTATGAGACCTGTGGGTTCTCTAAGTACCAGCAGTTCTTTTAGTTGGCACAAGAAATATTCAGATCAAGATAAAATAGTAGAAGGCATTTTCCCATCTAATCATTCTTGATAGTTCTTTGAAGTCAGAATCTTCTAAGCAGTTCAGTAACTTTTCTTTATGTGGCTGCTTCTTCAGATTATGGAGTCTCTCTCCTGTACAACCAGTTTCCTTCTTCCTTTGCTGGCTTGATAGTGAAGCTTAGTTGTCTACTATTAGAACATGTTCCCGTGTCCTGTTTAAGCTGCTTTTGGTTACCTGAAATAACTCTAAATGAGCCAGATGAGGTGCTGGGAGCTGTCTATCTGTGGAGCATGGCAAATTAGCTTATCGTGAGGTCTGTGCTTCTGCAGCTAAGCTGCTCCTGGCACCCAAGCTAGGTTAAATGAGTTGTTTTATATATCTCTACACTAGACCACAGTGTAGATAAATGCTGGGAGTCTCGCATTATCTACTGCCTTCCCACAAGGATCTCGAGTTTTGTGATTTTTAAAACCTAGCATTACACACTATTTGTTTGGAAATTTTCCACTCTCCAAAATGCAGCCCCTGATGCATGCTTGCCAAGAAAACCCCTCAACAAACAAACAAGTTTCACATAAAATGTAACCATTATATTATCCCAACATACTCCCATTTGGAAAACAGCCATCAAGTTTTAATGCCCATCAAGTTTTAATCACTAGTCTGGAAGATATATGACACAGCCCGGAGAGTATGTGGCTGACTTCATGTACATTGATGCATTCAGTAGCGCTGCGATTTCATAACCTCAGGCAGAATTTGTAAACTGTATATACCCAGATTCCCCAAATTGTCATACATAACTATTGTAATTTCACTGTCTCTCTTGCCTAAGGATGTGGTGATATCCCAAATCAGTGTAATTAAACTAAACATAAAAAAGCCATATTTTGATCTAATTTTACATTTTGATGGTATTATGTTTCTTTTTTTTTTTTTCTTCTCAGTGTATGATGATATAATTCTGGCGCTGAGCAGAGTCAGTGGTAAGTAAATGCTGTCTCTGATTTTCATGTAATTTTTTGTATTAAAATCACTAGAGCTTGAGGAAGCCAATTGCTACTGTGGGAAATCTCTTGGCATCTTATTACAGGCATGTTGTTAAGTTTTTGAATAGGCATTTGACCTTGCTAATTGGCAGTATTAAAGGGGAACAAAGTATTATTCCACCTCAGTTGTTTGGTTCAGACACTGTAAGTGTATTAACATTATATATTTCTTCACATTAACCTTCCATAAACAAGTCACTATTCATATATATAGATGGCCTAACTCTGATCCTCTGACTCTAGTGCAAAGTCAGGAGTCGCTCCATTGAAATGAACAGAGCTGCAAAAGTGCAGCTGGAATTGTGCCTACAATATGTCATTATATGATTAGTTATTACTTTTAAAAGTAATATTTCTGGTAATCATCTTAATAAATAGCAACAAAATAATAATATTGGGCCAGACACTCAATTGGTGTAAATTGGCATGTCCCCATTTGTATTACTGGTATTATACCATTTTATGGCAACTGAAGACCTTGCTTCCAAGGTCTCAACAATTTCTTGATTATTAATTTCAGTTTTTAGGTAACCTCCACATATTGAAAGAGCAACCATTAAGAGATCCCCAGCTGACCTTGTAGCAATCAGTACATTGTGTTTTTTAACCAGAATCTGTTGAATTTTGCACAGGTAAATCTGCTTCTCCACTGAAGATCCATTGTACTCCAGAAGGAATAAGACTCCAGTGTTCCCTGAAGTACTACATGGAGGAAATGAAAGTTAACTGGTATCAGAGGTTAGTGAGAGGACCTAACTGAGGATGGATCCTGGGAAAGAACTAAAGGATTTATGTTTATTTATAACTTTCCTGTGACAATCATATAATATTCTGTACAGATTAATTAATTAACCTCCCAGTATCTTTTAAGATAAGAAAGTGTTATTCCTATTTTATAAATAAAGAGTTGAGGTACAAAGGTAGTAAATTACTTACCCAGTGACTGCATCCAGATAAGTGTGGATGTTTGGTTCCCTGGGGACAAGTAGCAGTGGCACACCTTGCGCCGCAGCTACTTGTCCCCGGGGAATGCCCATGCTATGTGCATTGGCACACAGCAAGTTACCCCGGGGCTGGTAGCATAGGCTGGGGCCAGCCTTACCTGTGCTCCTGGGGGCCTTCTGGGGCTGCAGCAGCAGTGATCCTGCTGGGTGGAGTCTGGCTGACAGCTGCAGAGCAGCTCCAGGCGTCTCGGCTCCATTTTTCAGCGGTGTGCACTGCTTGCACACGTACTGCTCTGGGTTTTTTTTCTGCATTTTATTTTGCCCTCTGGATATCCAGGGGCCAAAAAAACCTGTGGAAAAAAGCCCAGAGCAGTGTATGCATGGGCAGCGAACCCTTGTAGTGTGGAGAACATCTAACTGTGCGGTATGCAGCACTGCAAAAGTGTTTGTGGCACCCGCACACCACACAGCCGTGCCCAGTGTCACATGGGAAGTCTATGGCAGAGTGAGGAACAGAATATCTACAGAGCTCCAGTCCTGTATTCTCTACCTGCAGAGCATTCGCCTTCGTCCATATTGTATATATGGCTCATAGTTTAGTAAGATGCTCAATAACAGTTATCTGATGGGCAGTTTATGTCTTGTTCTTCCCACTCATATTTACAGTGCAGAGCAAAGTGAAACAGCAATGCCTTGTTCTATTTTTTAAAATAAAAATGCTGTATAATAACAAAGCATAACACAAGTGGTTCACACAATCTTGTGAGCTCTAAAATAGTTCTACATTTTAAGTCTATTCCATCTTGGAGGAAAGGCAGCAAGAGGGCACAGCAGCCCCCCTGGCTCTCCAGGGACCTAGCAGACCTCCTGAGGCTAAAAAGAAAGGCCTACAAAGGATGGAGGATGGGAGTCACCTCCAAGGAGGATTATTCTGCACTGGTCCAGTCTTGTAGGGAGCAGACCAGGAAAGCCAAGGCTGCAACTGAACTCCAGCTAGCTTTGAGCATCAAGGACAATAAAAAGTCCTTTTTCAGGTATGTGGGGAGCCGGAGGAAAAGCAGGGGCAACATTGGACCCCTGCTGAACCAGATGGGGCAACTGACAACTGACGCCCAGGAAAAAGCCAACCTATTAAATAGGTACTTTGCGTCAGTCTTTCATCAGTCCCATGGGACGCCTTCAGATATGTGGGGAGCCGGAGGAAAAGCAGGGGCAACATTGGACCCCCGCTGAACCAGATGGGGCAACTGACAACTGACGCCCAGGAAAAAGCCAACCTATTAAATAGGTACTTTGCGTCGGTCTTTCATCAGTCCCATGGGACGCCCATGCCTGCTACAGGGCCGGGAAGTCTGGGTGAGGGTGATCCCCTGCCCTCCATTAATGCTGACTTTGTGAAGGAACATCTTGAGAAGCTGGATACCTTCAAGTCAGCCGGCCCTGACAATCTTCACCCCAGGGTACTCAAGGAGCTGGCGAGCATCATAGCCCAGCCCCTAGCACGGATCTTTGAAAACTCTTGGCGCTCTGGTGTAGTACCTGAAGACTGGAAGAAGGCCAATGTGGTGCCTATCTTCAAGAAAGGGAGGAAAGTGGATCCGGCTAACTATAGGCCCATCAGCCTGACTTCTATCCCGGGGAAGATCTTAGAAAAGTTTATTAAAGAGGCCATCCTTAATGGACTGGCCGACGCCAACATCTTAAGGGATAGCCAGCACGGGTTTGTTGCGGGTAGGTCTTGCTTGACCAATCTCATTTCCTTCTACGACCAGGTGACCTATCACCTGGACAAGGGAGAAGAGATTGATGTCATATATCTTGACTTCAAAAAAGCCTTCGATCTGGTGTCCCATGATCGCCTCTGGGAGAAACTGGCCAATTGTCCCCTTGGGTCCTCCACGGATAAATGCAAGGTTCTCCACCTTGGGGGGAAAAAAACCCACCGCATCCTTATAGGCTCAGCAGTGCTATGTTGGCTAGCACTATGGAAGAAAGAGACTTGGGGGTCATCATTGACCACGAGATGAACATGAGCCTGCAATGCGATGCGGCGGCTAGTAAAGTGACCAAAACGCTGGCTTGCATCCATAGATGCTTCTCAAGCAAATCCCGGGACGTCATTCTCCCCCTGTACTCGGCCTTAGTGAGGCCGCAGCTGGAGTACTGTGTCCAGTTTTGGGCTCCACAATTCAAAAAGGATGTGGAGAAGCTTGAGAGAGTCCAGAGAAGAGCCACGCGCATGATCAGAGGTCAGGGAAGCAGACCCTACGATGACAGGCTAAGAGCCCTGGGGCTCTTTAGCCTGAAAAAGCGCAGGCTCAGGGGTGATCTGATGGCCACCTACAAGTTTATCAGGGGTAACCACCAGCATCGGGGGGAACGTTTGTTCACCAGAGCGCCCCAAGGGATGACGAGGTCGAATGGTCACAAACTACTTCAAGATCGTTTCAGGCTGGACATAAGGAAGAATTTCTTTACTGTCCGAGCCCCCAAGGTCTGGAACAGCCTGCCACCGGAGGTGGTTCAAGCGCCTTCATTGAACACCTTCAAGAGCAAACTGGATGCTTATCTTGCTGGGATCCTATGACCCCAGCTGACTTCCTGCCCTTTGGGCGGGGGGCTGGACTTGATGATCTTCCGAGGTCCCTTCCAGCCCTGATGTCTATGAAATCTACATGATTCCCCTGCTTTTGAGAATTATCTGGTCTGGTCTCAAATTAGATGAAACTGGGTAATATCATATTTCTTGAATAATTCACAATGTTAAAACTACTATCAGAGTAACTTCGTATAGTTTCAGCAGCTTCTTCCATGTTTAAATTCAGGACTTATTTCTGTGTAGAACATAAAGTAAGGAGTTTCACAGACCTAGTAAATTTGTAGTAACCACCAATGAGAACAGGAAATACAGACTGACCTGGACATACGGGGAGGGTCTGGTTCACTATTCTATTAGTTCTGTTTTACACTGACATGAATTTCCATGAAGAGATACATGGATGGTGCAGAAGTAGCAATGGTCAGTTGAGGAGTCCAAGGAGAACATCTGTGAAGAATATGAAATAGTCTTCAAAACTTGAGCTTTGTATCAAATAAGTTCTGCCCTTTGAATAAGTGTGTCATTAATTTGACAGAGAAAGCAAAAAATGTATTTACCCTTGGCACCCAGTAAAGCTTCCTGAGCTTTCAAGGCAAATTACTTCAAGCTCTTATCCAGTTTGTATAAAAATAGATATAGTTAAGACAAAAAGCAAATCGGTATTCTCTTTTGAACAGAATTATTTTAAGCTAGAATTGTTATTATGAATCTAATCAAAGACTGAAAAAAATACTTTCTGTTTTGAATTAAGTTCTGAATAACCATTTTGAGAAGACAGAGAGGTTAGTCAGTCCCTGATTTTCTTATTGCCTTCAGCACAGCATGTAGCTTAGTATGCAAATGCCCAGTCAGTACTGAATCATCCACTATGCTGCATAGCAGGGAGCATAATACAAATCCTAAAACCAGTATGCAGTCACCCATTCATTGCACCATGTGGAACATAGCACAGTTTCCATCCAGGTATTTAATTTGGTCTAGTGAGATAGACTGACTTTTTTTGTAAAAGGAATAAGAGCTAAGGAAAAAATCCCTTTCTTATCCAAGTAGTTCTCTATAGGTCAGAGGCCAGATCCATTGTTTGTAAAAGCTATTTATTTGGCTAACTCTGTCTTCATAATGTTAAAACTTAGTTAAAGAAAAAAGAATCATGTTAAATTCAAGAGGTAAACTTGTTTAGTTAATTGGAGTCAAGGAGAATTTTCAGATATAATGATGTGGCGATACCATACAATCAGGGTGTTTTCTTAAAAAATATCACTTCTGGAGAGGAGGGGCATTTGCTTTAAAAGAACGGCACAATATAATCTCTGATATCTATATAGTTTCCTAGCACACATTTTTCTAGCAGTGTCTGTTGGTCACAGAGATTATTTGAGCAGTAGTGATTATTTGGAAGTCACATAAGAATTCAGAATTTTTTAGTTGTTTGAAAAAAATCTTGCATTATTTTAAAGTAGAAAATGACAATGTTTAGGCTAACTTTTAACTTGGGATCAAAACCAATATGTCTTTACACTTTTAACATCCTGCAAGTGTGAAAGGATTCATCTTAAAAAGATAATTTGTTTTGGAAAATTATGTATGAGACAGTTATCCTGCAACTGTAACTATAGCAAATAGAGTTAGGACATGTCTACATAGTACTCACGTGTAGAGATATGTTGAGCTAGTTGTGGACATGCTAATCCATTTATTGGAGATCCCATACCATGCAAGGCAGCACCTGACAGAGATTACTGGCTTAGCTATACATGCCTTAGCACTGGAATCAGAACTAGTATAGCTACATCAGTGTGGTACTGCACCTGAGCTAATAAGCCCTGCTTTTTAGAAGACCTCATTCCAGGTTCAAAGACCTTGGTAATATGTGCATCCCTAAGGGCATACAGGACCTGTTACATCCAGGACCACATGTTGAGCATGCCCTAATTGTAGTCACAGAGGTTTACAGAAATAAACATAAATACATAGATGGCATGTCTACATGTGATGCTACATCGCCGTAGCAATGCAGTATGGCGATGTAGTGTCTGTGGGCAACAACCGTGATGCCACCGCTATGTCGCCAGAGTAATGTGCTCCCTCATTACAGCACGTCACTACAGTGATGTAGGCCTAAAAATAACCGTGCACCGCTGGCAGTATGGGCTTTTACTGCGCTGTTATTTAGTACTTCCAAAAGGTAACAATGGCACCACAGGGGCACATGTAGACACACCCAGTAATAAGCAATTATAGATCTGACTGAATAATCTATAATAGTATCATCATATCTTCATATAATCATATGAATGGAGGTTTTCAAGACCCGGCTAGACAAAGCTTTGGCTGGCATGCTCTAGTTGGGGGTTGTCCTACTCTGAGCAAGGGGTTGGTCTAGATGACCTCCTGAGGTCTCTTCCAACTGTTAGATTCTATGATCTCCAGCCACTGTGTGACAGAGGATACTGGTCAAAATGGACTTATGGTTTGACCCATTAAATGGCAGTTCTTATGTTCTTATGTTCATGGTATCATCCCATATCTGTTGTCTTATGACAAAAAATAGATGGATTCCAATCTTTGCTTAGAAATGAATGCATCAACTTGATGTTCCGATACATGCAGAGGCATCACCAGCAGTCATGGATCTTTACAAACAAGTGAGGGGGAAGAGATATGGGGGGGGTACCAACATGGAGGCACCAAGAGGACATATTCCATGGTAAGGGATCTGGTAATAGAAGAAGAGAAAGAGAGCTGCAATCCAACATACTGCTTCTTAGAGACCCGTAGAAACACCAAGGCAAACCTCAGCCAAAACCATCAGATACTATTTCCAATAGTAGTTTTGCCTGCATAAGGATTAAAAACTGATCCTTTGGTGGCATAGATTCACCCTCCTGTGGAGAAAAACCTCATGAAGTCACTCTTACTATTTTAGTAATAACTTACTTCAAGTGCATTCATATAGGCAAGAGAAAAGGAATCCTATACATTGTGAAACAGCCATCGTTTGCTAACACCCCTGCCTCCCCAGCCCACATCAAGCAGGTTTATCATTAGGATTTATTTATTTATAAAATGGGCATGTAGCTGGGAAGTCCAGGTACATGTCTCCTTTTTTACATTTCTGAGTACCTGTGGAAGAAACACCTGGGAGTAGAGGGCTCCTGGCTCCCCAGCTGCTGCTTCCATGTGCATAGGGGGAGGAGGGGGGTTAGCTGGAGAGCAGGGAGCTTTTCACTCTCCAGATGTAAGTGTCCCCTCATGCTGGCAGCTAGCATTTGCCCAATGAGTTTTTGTTGAATTTTATGTCTCATTGTCAGAATTCTGCAACCTGCCTTTTACACATGACATGACAGGTCGTGGATTTGGGGAACGGGGCATAAAATTCCTCAGGATCCAGTTACACAACTGCCTTAACATCTTCCATTAGCCTGAGTTCATGTTCTGGAAACAAAATAGAGGAAGACCTTCCATTGTTTTAGTCTTAATATCTGAGTAGTTAGGGCACTTATCTGGAAAGTCAGAGATCTTGGGTTTGCCTGGCCCCACACACACTTATCCCCTCACCCTGAAAAGGGTTGAATATGCCTTTCACAGGCTTCCCAGAAAAGTACTCTCAACTCCACACAACAGAAAAATGGACAGAGGAAAGTTTCTGCATTACTGGGAGTGAGGAGGCCCAGGTAGAAACCAGGGCCTCTCTTCTTTCCAGAGCAGCATCCATCTCATTGAGCCATACACCATCTGACTTAATCCTTTTTCCGGAAACTCTCTTGGCTGCTGAGGGGGGAGCTTCAAAAGGAGCACAGAAGGTGGTGGATAATGCCCAACATGGAATGTGCTGGTTAGAGTGGTATGTTGCAGAGAGAGAGGTGCAAACTTGCTCTTAGGCAGAGGAGGTCTGGGTTTTCAGCGTCCAAGTGTATGCCCTAATCACTCAGCTATTGAGGCTAAAATATGGAAGGGTGAGTTCTCTGTCTGATTCTGAACCTTCTAAACATGGGTTTCTATCTGCCTACACTTTCAGGCTGGGGATGCTGGTATATGCCCACAACAGGTATGCACACATAACTGCATACATGGCCAGGCACTGCCTATCCTACTGCCCATGCTCAGCTTGCACACACAGTACATATGCACATGCTGCTGGGAAATAGAATTGCTACATGGATGTTAGTGCCAAAAATGTCATATAAATGGCAAAAAAACTACTTAGATGACCAGAAGAAAATACAATTCCATCACTTCTGTGTATGTGATGTTGGTGCATGAACACAGACCTTATTATATTATCTTTGATGCTTCAAAAATATGTTATATCCACATTGGGAGGGAACGAATCCACTGTGAAATTGCTCTCAGTGGTTGCAATTTATTTGTAATTTTATGAGCAATATGTCATCCTTTATAACCTTTATAGCTAGATATGCTATGGAGAATATGCATCAAAAACATTTTCAAACCTATTTCATTTTTCAAGGGAAGCTAAGATTTCTTCTAGTGAAAAGATGAGGATTGGAGGTAGTGAAGAGGTTGCCTGGATGCAGATATGTGAACCTACTGAAAAGGATAAAGGGAAATACACCTTTGAAATCTTCGATGGCAAAGAATCCCATAAGCGCATACTTGATCTATCTGGACAAGGTAGAATATTATATATATGGTAGTCATAATGCATGGTGGATTTTTATAAACTGCATTAACTGGAAGAATTATTGGAAAAATAGAAAGCTAGTGGTTAAATTCAGCCAAGCTGTAAAATTTTATTTATTCTTAAATTCATTTTCACTAGGTCTGTTCCATACATGTAGCTGTCGTTTCAGATTTCAGTATGGTGTAAGATTTTAAAAGGTTTTAAAAGAAAAGAATATTAACATAGGTATGAATGAAATTTCTATTTATTCACAGATAAATGCTACATTTAATTTTAAATAATGCACAACAATATTTCATTACAGCTTTTGATGATGCATATTCAGAATTCCAGAGACTCAAGTAAGTTCTATTTTTTTCTTTTACTTTGCAGTTTATATAGTGCCTAAATTACACAGGATAGCATTCTATCAGTAACTTGACATTAATGTGTTTTTTTTTCTTCCTCCCTACCTCTAACTTTAGGGCAGCTGCTTTTGCCGAGAAGAGTAAGTATACTGCACATTTTGTAAGAAATAATTTCCTTCCAATCTTCCTGGCTTTTAAGAGCAAATCTAGTGCCAAGGTCTTATGGTTCTTGTAATTCAATGACAGCATAACACACCCACTGCTACAGAATTTGATTTGATTTTTTAAAGTTCTGTTTGGGGTTGTCTTTAATTGCAAAAGAAACATGGCAAGTGTGAAATGGGTGTGTAAGCCTCTGCTGAGCTGCTTTCTTGCATCTACAAAATGAAAGCCTGAATCACTTGGCTCTTAAGATGTGAGAACTTTTTTCTTCATTACAGAGTGGTATTGACTTTGTGACATGATGATTAATTAAATTTAAAATGTAAAATTTAAATTATCTCACTACTGATCCTTTTAGCAAAATATTTATCTAACTGTTGTTGGAAGCAGTGGAACATATTTTTGCTAGGGACAAATGATCCATCTTGTTGCTTTCAAAGCCTGTACTGCTTTCATTATAAGCCCATAAATATGTACAATTTCTTCTGTCCTGCATAGAGAGAATGAATTATTTCCCCAGAGCTCAGATATTGCATCCCAAAAGTCTGCAACTGTGTTGAACTTCCCTTTTGACTTTCAATGCTAATGATAAAAATTGCATTAAGAATTAAAATTATAAACATGTTTATGAATAATAGTTGCTTGTTAACTGGTATAATGTTTGCATTTTCTTTCAATTCCTAGATCGTGGTAAAGTTATAGGAGGCTTGCCTGATGTGGTGACTATAATGGAAAAGAAGGTATGAATAACCTTTGTCATTGACACAAGTTGACTCTGATTTACCATGAAGTAGTGTAGCTTGAAGCTGAGAAAACATGGAAGGTAGCTTTTAAGAAACTAGAATATATTAACTGCAAAGGTTAACATTTTCAAAGCCAGCTGGACTATTTTTTAGAGA